ATATTAGAATTTTCATAGCCATTAAGTTTTGCTTTATATAGTTGGGTGCTCCCGTGTTTGGTGCATACATATTCATGAGTGTTACCTTTTCCTCTTGAATTTTTCCCATAACCAGTATATAGTGGTCTTCTTTATTTCGCTTGATCATTGTTGGTTTGAAGTTGAGACTCTCTGAGAATAGTATTGCTACCCCTGCTTTTTTCTGAGGTGTTGGGGTATGTATTACTGTGTTCCATCCTTTGACTTTCAGCCTATGAATGTCTTTATGAGTTAAACGTGTTTTTTGTATTCAGCATATTGTTGTATTTTGTTTCCTAATCCACTGTGCCAGTCTATTTCTCTTAATTGGTGAATTGAGTCCTTTTACATTAATGGTTAGAATTGAGATGTATTGACTTATGATTAACATGTTATTTACCTGTTGTCATTTACTCCTTTTTGTCCTATGCACTATTTATTTGTTTTCTTCTGATCTCATTTGTGGAGTTCTGATCAACTTGATCCTTCTCCAGAACATCTTTCAGTAGCATATGTAGGGTTGGCTTTGTCATCATGAAATTCTTTAGTTGTTCTTTTTCATGAAATTATTTCACTTATCCATCAACCTTGAAAGAGAGTTTTGCAGCATATAATAGTCTGGGCAGGGGTGGAGGGATGCTACAGAGTGGTGAGGATTCCCAAGGGAGTGGAAGAACATCTCATCCACACTGTGCCTGGGCTGGGAACGGCAGGTTCAGCCAACACAGTGTAGCCAGAAGCTCTCCCATACACTCACTGGGCCTGGGCTAGGACTAGATCTGGGAGTTCTGGAAAATGGCAGAAATTTCTACTTGGTGGATGGGGTGCGAGGGGTGCTGTGGAGTGGTGAGGGGGTCCCAGTAGGGTGGAAGAGAGTCTCATCCAAGCTGTGCCTGAGCTGGGACTGATAGGTCCGGCCAGCGCAATGTAGTTGAAATCTGTCCCACACACTCACCAGGCCTGGGCTAGAACTGGATCTGGGCATCGCTAGAACACCGCAGAATTTCTCACGTGGTTGGTAGGGTGAGGGAGTGAAGTGGAGTGGTGGGTGGCATCCCAAGTGTGTGGAAGACAGTCTCACCCATGCTGCACCTGGGCTGGGACTGACAGTTCCCACCCAAGCAGGGTAGCTGGGAGCTCTCCCATACACTCACCAGGCCTGGTCTAGGACTGGATTCTCATGCACATGTCTTTCTGCAAATGGCATTTCAGTCCATCTCTAAGAGTTGCCAATGTCCCAACAGTTTCAGCATTGCTGAAATGTCCAAATCCCAAGTGTCCTCCAAGATCTAAGGCAAACTCTTTGCAATGATCCCCTACCCATGTGAAAAGAAAATTAAACACTTTCAATATTCAAAGCACAAGATGCACTCTATTCCAAAAGGTACACACAGCAGGATTCTAAGTATTAGTACCAACATAAGTCCAAAATCCAGCAGGGAAACATTAAATTCTGTAGGTCATTGTGGAACACCCAAAGCAACCAGTGGCAAATTGTGAGCTCCATGTGGCTTTCCCCATGGCATTCTTGGAGGATAACTTCCATGGCTTCTCTCTTAGACCAGCTTTGCTCTCTCTTTTTTCACTTTCCCTTAGATGTCCATGTTCCTGGCTTTTCCAAATTTCTAGGCTTTCCACTGAATAGGCTTCTCTCTCACAGCTTTACACAGCTACCCTCTTAGGGGCAGACCACCTGGCCTCCCAAGCCTTCTTCTGAAATGAATGTGGAATCCTTCTTAACTTCACAACTCCTGTGTTCTGACTGTGACTAAAGCCAATGCCACATGGATGATGTCAAGGTCTGCTGCCAGGTTGAGAAGTCACCAGGCTTCCTTCTCTCTTGGTTGTAAGATTCAAGTGCAGGTATCACTGGACACTCTGACCATTATTCCAAGGAATTAATTCTCTATGATGGTGCCATTCTGGAACATAGTGTGGCTACTGAAAACATCCTCGAACATGCGGCTCTGCAGCTTTCTCCTCAAGGAAAAATTCATTTTCCTTGCAATTCTGAAGCTGCAAAGGGTGGAGACTTGCTACCTCCTGTGATACCCACAGGAAATACTTTCCATTCTCTTGTGCCTTCCCAGCAATAAAGATCCTTTCAGCTCTATCTTTGCAGTCCACAGCTTTCTTAGAACTACATTTCTGGCCAAACTTACAACATTCTAAATCATCCTATGGGGCTCTTTGCTCTTCATTCTCAAAATAAATCTGGCTAAAAGCCCTCAACTACAGCGATGCCACTGCTACAATATCTGGCTTCTTTCAGATTTCTTTTGCCACATTTATCAGTCTGACATGCCTTAATCTGTCTCAGACAAAGTCTCTCTCTGGACGCAAGCAAAATTTAGACAAACTTTCTGTCAAGCCATAACACAAATCATCTGAAGTCCAGCAACTAATGCAGTCCTTCCCAAAAGAAAGCCCCCAAGTCTGGTATTTACAAGCAGGATTTCTATCAGCCTTCTGGTCTTCTGAACTCATGCCAGAATCTCTCATACAGAATAGTTGAAGTTATTCCAGAATTTCACTTGCAGGCAACATCTTCAAAATTTTCCTATCTCTTCCCATAAGCCATTTCCAAAAGATTGTAATCCACATGGTTAGGTGTAAACACAGCAACAACCTCACTTCTTTGTTACCAAATTTTGTCTCAGTTACTCTTCTCTCATTGCTAAGACAATTGCCCAACACCAAAGCTGAAGGAAAGAAAGGCTTATTTAGCTCACCGTTACTGCAGTTTTCAATACATATTCAGCTGGCTCCAAGGCAGAGTCACATATGGCAAAGAGCAACCTTTCATGGTAGTGGCAAAGAGCAAGAGAGCCAAGAGAGGATTAATGGCAACAATGGAAACAGAGAGGAAGTTTGTCATCCTTAAATTGCATTCAGGCTATATGCAACAGCCTGAGTGTAGTAATCACGCCCATAATCCCAGCAGTACTAAAACCCACAATCCCAGCCTTGACCATGAATTAATCTCAAACTTCATAATTCCCCAACACATGACTGCATGAGTCTTTGGGAAGACAAATATACACAAATGATAACAGTGATGTATAATGTTCATGATGATTTGCTGCATCCTGTTTATTAGTATTTTGTTGATTTTTGCATGTATGTTTATTAGGGAGATTGGCATGTGGTTCTCTTTTATGGTTGGGTCTTTTACTGGTTTTTGTATCAGAGTAATACTTACCTTTCTGAATGAGTTTAGAAGAATTGTTTCCCTTTCAATTTCATTGAAGAATTTGAGAAGAGTTGGCATTAGCTCCTCCCCAAATTTCTGGTAGAATTTAGCTATAAATCCATCAGGACTTTTCTTTGTGAGCAGGTTTTTTCCTAATTACATTTTCAATTTCATTGGCTTATATTGGGTTATTCAGATTATTTATATCTTCTTCCTTGGCATTAATAGTTCATATGTATCTAAGAATCTGTCCATTTCTTCAGCATTTTCCATTCTCTAAGAGTTAAGATTTTGAAATAGGCATTGATAATTTTTTGAATTTGTATAGGGTCTATAAAGATTTTACCCTTTTCATTTCTCATTGCATGAATTTAAATTTTTTCTTTTTTTTTTTCAATGAGGTTGGCTAGAAATTTATCAATTATATTTATTCTTCCAAAGGATCAACTCTTCAACTCATTAATTTTTTTTCACCTTTTTCTTCTCTCCTTTGCATTCATTTTAGCTTTGGTCTTCATAATTTCCTGCATTCTTTGGATTTTGTGTTTGACTTGCTCTTCTTTTTCTAGGCGTTTGAGGGGCAGCATAAGACTGTTTATTTAGATTTTCACTAGCTGCATCAGTGTCTTCAAGATCTGGAACCCTATCTTTTTTTTTTTTTTTCCAGATCTTTAACTTTATTAGGAGTGACTAAGCTATGAGATACAAACCAATCAAAAACACTGAAGTTGTTTGAAATAGGTATGTACAGATACATTACACAGAAGCTAGCCTTGTGGGGAAGGGTGGGCTTACCGTGGGGACAAAGGAGCACATGAATTACAATAGGAAGTCTTATCCACCCAGGAAAGCAGTGAATTACAGCCACACGGGCACTAAAAATTTGAGATCAATTTTTAAAGATTCCTTTAATGATAAAGTTTTCAAATGAAAACAGGTATCCCTCCTCCTCCTGTAGATTTTCCAGCTCACTACCCAAGAAATTTGAGTACTTCTATTAAGGCAGCTGGAAGCACACCATAGGCTTCAACAGAATTTCTATCCAGTATGTTACCTGTCCCCTTCTTTTGCTATAACAATATGCTATGGGGAAAAATAAATTTCTGTGGTGCTGTCTTCTGGTAAAAGAGAAATAGCACTCAAAATAAAGCAAAAGGCCACAGAGGGCTCCCTGAGAATCCAGTAGAATGAAGACAGGCCTTCAACTGTTTCCAAATAAACTTTGCAACTGGATCCAGGTGGAATAGTGCCCTGCAGCAAGTAGTGTATGTGCTAGGAAGAGGGCCCAGCTTCTAGGAACTGTCACTATGACTTCCTAGACCACTTTCTTTTACTCATAGTAAGTGAGAAAATACACCATGACCTTGTGTCTCACCACAATCCCCCTACACAGAGGGATCTGTTTCTAAGTTTGGAACTTCCATACAAGGCCAAGAGACTTCACGAGCACTCTTCTCCTCTTTAACCATCTCTGCTGCTCTCTCCAGAGTGCTTCATCTTCCCATTCTCCTGGGGAAGGCTGGGTCACAAGAGAACCTGGGATCCCTCTAACAGGAAATAGGTACAGTTGAAAGGAGTTCTGCTCTGGCTTTAGTGTTCAGATGTTAGTCTCTCAGGATCAGCAGAGAACTGGGAAGCAACAATTTGGTAGAGTAGGAAAGAGCCCCCAAAAGTGTGTGCTCCGTGATGGTTAACAGATGAAATGGAATTCCATGGAGATTCTTTGTGTACAAGGAGAAACTGCTCAGTTTCACCTTCCAGAAGTTGGAGGTTACTTAGTACAAGAGACTTATGTTTTCTTTTTCAGCTCTTCAAATCTCCGGGAAAGATCATCAAAATCAATGTCTTCAGATGCTGAAGTGCTGCCGCCAGCAGATGCAGTTGGCAGCATGTCTGGCACAGATGGCAACTCTGGCAGTACAAAGTTGTAGTTTTCTGCAGGTCTGGGAGGGGCTTTTGCAGAGGCTTCGGGCTTGGGTCCAGGACCAACAATCTGTGCAGAAGAGACATTCTTATCAGCATTAATGTAATCAACAGATTCATATGATGGGGGAGTGGCTGGTATCTGAGGTGGATGAATATTTGGAAAAGCCTGGTAAGTCCCCACTGGCAATCCATTGAAATCTGATGGTCCCTTTGGCAATGGATATGAGAAAGGAGTATTTGGAGATGGCATGGGCATAGGCATGGGCATAGGCATTGGCACTGTTCCATCAGGCCCACCAACAGGTGCTGCGAACCCACCACCTCCACCGCCGCCTCTACCAGGGCCACCTTTCTTCACATCATCTGTAAATCCAACATCAATGAGATCTGTTTCTACCCCAGGAGGAACTTCTGCCATAACCACAGAGTCAGGCTCATATGGTACATTGTAATTCTTGGCAATTTCAATCAGGTATCTCTCCACGAGGATTTTGGGTGGCGCTTCCACACTGAGTTTATGCATTAGAATGTCATTAACAGTTCCAATCTGGTTGGTCCTACATAACTTGCCATATTCTTTGCTATACTTGGCACAGAGTTGATCAGCAACTATTTTTAATTCGGCAACTTCTGACTGGAGTCGAGGAGCAGCCCATATCAGTGTAGACACAGATTCAGCCAGTCCAGAATCTAGCTCTTTCATAGACTGAATGAGGCCAAACCGAGCCATCAGCAGGTCGCAGTACAGTTCCAGGATCTCCATGGCCTCCACAAGGTAGTCTTCGCGGATGATGTGCTCCACACGGATCCGTGCTCGTTCATCCTTCCCAGCAGCCAGATAATCAGCAATCTCCTTCCTTGCTTTCTGAGCCAGTCCCGTTTTTTTTTTTTTTTCCTCCAGTAGTTTGAGACGGTTTATGACTAATCTCAAATTGACTCGTAAACGCTCAGCTTTAAACCCAGAGCCCAGCATGCTGTGCTGTTCCTCCTGATCGAATTGAAGCGTGTAAACCTTCCAGCTCGACTTCCGCAACCCCGTTCCTGAAACCCTATCTTAACGTTCATTCAAATGGTGTTGCCGGTTTGTGATTGAGATTTTAATTTCTTGTGTATCTCTTTGAATCTGTTTCGTGTATTCTATTTCTTGTCTAAGTTGCTCATTCAAGGATTTCATCATTTTTTCTATTCTCCTCTATTATTTATCAGTGTCTTCTTTAGAAACACTTAGCAATTCTTCCGTTATAGCTATCATTTCTTTTTTTACTTCAGAGATTATTTCTGATCTGATTTCCTCTGTACTTTTATGCAGTTGTTTCTTTACTTCACTCTACTAATTCAGAGATTTCAGTTCTTCCATTTCCTATTTCTTTTATGCTAGTGTCTCCTGCATTTACTCTGGGTGAGCTTAGGACCTGAGACTGCATTTTGCTCCTTCTCTTTGTCATTTTGAAGGATTTTTTTTGGGGGGGTCTGGCTCAGAATGCCTTAGGGGCAGGTCTGGAAAGGCATGAGGATCTGGGTATCGAACCACAGAATCTTGAGCCTGACTGCTTTACTAACACAGTCACTTAAACAACTGAGCTAATGGGCAGACACCCCTCATTGTCATTTTGTATAGTACTGTCCTCTGACCTTTGGTGTAGAGATTTGGTGCAGTTATAACCTTAGCACCAACCAAAATTCTTACCCAAGAGAGGTTATATGGTTAAGGCAGTTATAGATTTGTGTTTACAGAACTACAATTAGGAACACTAATAATGGGTAGTGATATTTAGCAGTTGACCAACTTTTGTAACTAATGGGTTCATATTTTAGACCATAAGAGCAAACATTATGTCTGTGTAGCTAATCAAATATTAAATTGGGAATTTGTATTTAAGTTAGTTCCCTTAAGTTCTGTCTAATCACCTCCACTTGATGTACCTAGGTCTTCCAAGCAGACTGGTTCACCTGGTTACCTTTTACACCCCCTGTAGATCAAGAGAGAAAGGGAGAGGACACTTTCATAGATCTGGGTCTAGCAAAGATTATCAGCTTACCAGGTATAGATCTATGAAGTCTGAACTCATCCTAATGTGTCTGGTTTGGGTCTAGCTGCTGTGCTCAGCTTCTTCCTGCTGCAGCCTGTGGAAGAGAATCGGCTTTGACCCTCTGGCAAGATGTTCTGCTCCTGGATTATCTGGGTGTTTCTGGTTCCTAGCCTCTCTGCAGGGACTTCAGCTGCAGAATTTCACACCAGGTCTCTCTGATGCAGGACATTCCGGCGAGTGTGTGGATTGTCCTACACAAACGCTAGGCCTGGGCTGGGGTTGGAAGGGATCCAATTGGCTTGGTGGAGCAGAAACTCTCCTGCATGTGCTGGGCCTGGGTTGGTTCTGGAGGGGTCTGGTGGGTGCAGCGTAGTGGAAGGTCTCACTCCAAGATTGTTTATTTAGGCTCATTCTGTTTTCATAAATTATCATTACAAATTTCCCTCTTAAGACATTGCATCCCAATGCAATTTCATTGCATCCCATCAGTGCTAGTAAGTTATATCTGCATTTTTATTTGATTGTAAATATTGTTTTAATTTTTTATTCAGTTTCACATGTGACCCATTGATTGTTCAAGAGAGTGTTAGTTTCTGTGTGTTTATGTAGTTTTTGCTGTTTCATTTCTCAATAGTTTTCAGTTTCATTGCACTATACTCAGACAATATGCATGGCATAATATCAATTCTTTTGCATTTACTTAAGCATGTTCTCTGTGCTAGCACATCAACTGCTTTGGAGAACATCCCATGTGTAGCTTAAAAAAGTGTGTATTTTCATGCTGTTGGGTAGAACACTCTGTATAGGTCTACTAAATACATTTATTCACAAGATTGGTTAAGTTCTCTTATTTCTTTGCTCATTTTTAGCATGGTTTATATATCTTTTGTAACAATGGGATGTTAATATCCTCCAATACAATTGTGTTACTGATCATTAGATTTTTCATGCTTATTAAAATTTGACTGATATAGTTGTGTGCTCCTACATTGGGTGCAAATATATTTATAATTACTATCTCTTCCTCTTGCAGCTTTCTCCTAACAATTGTGTGGTGCCCTTCTTTGTATCTTTTAATCTCATTTGGTTTGAAGTTGACATTATCAGCAATTAGATGAACTACCCCTGTTATTTTCTGTGCTCTTATTGCATGGAGTATCATTTTCCATCCTTTAACATTCAGTCTTTTATTTTTTATTTAAATGTGTTTCTTGTATGCACCATATTGTTGGGTTTTGTTTATTTATGCACTCTGTCAGTCTGCTTCTTTTGATTGGTAAATAGTGGCCATTTATGACAACAGTGATAACTCATATGTATTGGCTTATCTTTGTCATGATGTTTTCCTACTGTAAGATTCCTACTTCTCCCCTTTGCTTAATTGCTTGCTCCACTTGGTTGTTCACTTCTGCTGTTGTTGAAATTGTGGTCATCTTTGTCTCTTTCTAATATATCTGTCAGTACTCTTTTAGAGTTGGTTTGTTGGTCATGAATTTCTTACTTTCTTCTTTGTCATGGAAGTATTCAATCTCTCCATTAAATTTGATAGATAGTTTTGTAGTATACATCAGTCTGGGTTGGAAGTTGTTTTCTTTGAGGACCTAAAATACCTCACTCCAAGCTTTTATTAATTTAATGTTCTGTGTTGAGAAATCTGCCATGATTCTGATTTGCTTTCCATTATATGAGATCTGTTTCTTCTGTCTGACAGATTTTAGTATTTTGGTTTTTTTTCTCAATTTCTGGGATCTTGCTTATTATGTGCCTATGTGACAATTTATATTGATTATGGTTAGTGGAAGCTCTATATGCTTCAGTTACTATGTATTAGATTATTTTCCTGTACTCAAAAAGTTTTCTACTACTACTTCTGCAACTTTTATGTCTTTTGTGTTAGCTTAAGCTGTTTTGTTGATACCTATTAGTCAGATATTATTTTTCTTTGCATCATTTTGCAGCTGTTATATTGTTGTTTCCTGGTTTTTCATTACTTTTTAAAAATGTTTCTTTTGGTGTTCACTAACTGCAATGCTGTCTTTAAGGACTGAAATTTGATTTTCCATTTCATTCCAGCAGTTTTACCAACTTTCAATGGAATTTTTAATGTCCTAGATATCAGTTTGAATGTTTCATGTATTCTAATTCTTTCCAGTAGTGTTCATAAAATGTTTCCATAATTTTCCTATTCCTTTAAATTTTTTATTAGTGTATTCCTTAGATGTAGAGAGCAATCCTTTCATGATTGTCATCATTTCAGTTTTTCTTTATCTGATTCCCTCCATAGCCTCTTGGAGTATTTTTTTTTTTTGGGCGGGGGGTTGTTGTTGTTGTTTGTTTGTTTGTTTTACTTTTGTTGATATCATCTTAGACATTCAGCAGCATGACTTCCAAGCTCTTCAGTGACTTTTCTCCTGGACTTGTGTTCATTAGGCTAGAGGTCTGATATTGCCTTTTGCTTCTTCCTCTTGTCATTCTTTTCAGTGATGGTAGATGGTGGTGGTGCAGGTCAGCACAGATCTCCAGAGTATGGGAGAGAAGTGTAGCCTTGCCAAAGCTCCTGTTGTGTGTATTCCATGTGGTTTCTCCAATATTAAGGGAAGGGTGGAAAGCCATCTTTCAATAAGGATCCAATGACAATGAGTGCAGGCTGAAGTTATGCAAGACTCTCTTGATGTTAAGTTCGCTCAAGGTGGTGTTCTGCAAGGCTCCTACAGTTTGCTGTGTTAATCAGAACTCCCTGGTGGTCTTCAGGATAAGGAAGGGTGGCCAATTCAGTGAATTCTGGTACAAAAGCTGAAAGGGTGGGACTAGGGCTTCCCAGTCAGGCCAATAGTTTTTAGGGCAAGAGGAGGTTGTTGGAATCAGCCAACTCTGGCAATGAGTGGGGACTAGCCTACCAGATCTCTCTGGCACTCTTCAGGGCAAGAAGGGACAGTGGAACTCAGTAAATTCCATGTGAAAAGGTTGGGAGGGATAGGTCTAGGGCTGCCAAGTCTTTCAAATGGTCTTCAGGGTGAAGGCATGCAGTCAGAATCACCAAAATCTGGCAAAGGGTGGTATTAGTGTACCAGGTCTCTCTGGAAGTCTTCAGAGCAAACCTAGGTAAGATTCTTGATATTCAAATATGTTAATGAATAAACCTATACCTAATAAGGAAACAATACTCATTCCTTTTAAGGACACTTGAAAACATCATAAAGAAGACATTTGTAAAAAGCACAGTGGATGACTAATCAGGCCTCCTGTGAGATCCACTGGAGGCAGAACCACAGGGATAGGTTCCTGAAAAGGAAATTAGGGGAGGCATTGCCTCCAGTAGTATGAGCCTGAGGAATTTGGCAGAGAACAGGAAAATAAAAACAAAAAAATGGTGTCTTCATGGTGACTAGCTTCCAGCTGATTGTTGGGAATGTTTGTAGCTGAAATAATGCACAGAAGGTTGAAATCTGTGTGCTACACTAGTCAGTTATTGCTGTGGGCAGTCTCTGAGGGAAGTTTGTGTAAAGCCTCAGATGGAGCAGAGTACATTTAATAAAAGCAAGTTCCCTGAAGAAAGGATTTTTTTAACCATTGCAATCAATACTAAGAGAACTAGAGGGATGGATATTGTGGCTCAGTATGGAGGTTTTCAGTGAGAGTCTAGACATGACCAGCGGCAGTAGAAATTATAGGGAGCCACAGAAACTGGAAAGTCAGTCAAAGTTGTGTAGGTGGAATTGGGCTTCAGTGCCTAAAGCAAACAAGCTACTGTTATGGGTTCTCAATCAGAAGCCAGAACAGAGCCCAAAATGAGAATTTAAAATGAGCCTTTAACATGGAGCTAGGGGCCTTCCTGAATTCTACTCACTCAGGAAAAAGACAGAGAAGTGTTCTGAGTGACAGAAAACAGGGTTGTTGAACAGAAACTACTCTCTACTTAGCACATGTACATATTTTAAAATTAATCATTTATAACCTACCAACACATACAGGTACAATTCACAGGTTAACTTGACAATAGATTGA